ATGGAAGACACTGTCATGCAGATTCGGGTGTCATCCGCAAAGGAAGACACGGTGCTGTGGCTGACATCCTTGTCTATGTCGGATATGAGGATGAGGAACAAGATGGGAGCTAGTACTGTGCCTTGTGGAACAGAGCTTTTCACCGTAGCTGCCTCGGACTTTACTCTGTTGACGACTACTCTCTGTGTTCTGTTAGTGAGGAAATTATAGATCCATCGACCGACTTTTCCTGTTATTCCTTTAGCGCGCATTTTGTGCGCTATTACGCCATGGTCACACTTGTCGAAGGCTTTTGCAAAGTCTGTATATATTACATCTGCATTCTTTTTGTCTTCTAGTGCATTTAGGACCTTGTCGTAGTGATCCAGTAGTTGAGACAGACAGGAGCGACCTGTTCTAAACCCATGTTGCCCTGGGTTGTGTAACTGATGGGTTTCTAGATGGGTGGTGATCTTGCTTCTTAGGACCCTTTCAAAGATTTTTATGATATGGGATGTTAGTGCTATTGGTCTGTAGTTCTTTGCTGTTGCTTTACTGCCCCCTTTGTGGAGTGGGGCTATGTCTGTTGTTTTTAGTAACTGAGGGACGATCCCCGTGTCCATGCTCCCTCTCCATAGGATGGAAAAGGCTCGTGATAGGGGCTTCTTGCAGTTCTTGATGAACACAGAGTTCCATGAGTCTGGCCCTGGGGCAGAGTGCATGGGCATGTCATTTATCGCCTGTTCGAAGTCATTTGGCGTCAGGATAACATCGGATAGGCTTGTGTTAATCAAATTTTGTGGCTCTCTCATAAAAAATTCATTTTGATCTTCGACTCTCAGTCTGGTTAGCGGCTTGCTAAAAACTGAGTCATATTGGGACTTGAGTAGCTCACTCATTTCCTTGCTGTCATCTGTGTAGGACCCATCTTGTTTAAGTAGGGGCCCAATACTGGACGTTGTTCTCGATTTTGATTTGGCATAGGAGAAGAAATACTTTGGGTTTCTTTCGATTTCATTTATAGCTTTTAGTTCTTCCCGCGATTCCTGACTCCTAAAGGATTCTTTTAGCTTAAGTTCGATGCTTGCTATTTCTCTGACCAGTGTCTCCCTACGCATTTCAGATATATTGACCTCTTTTAGCCGCTCTGTTATTCTTTTCCGTCGCCTGTAAAGGGAGCGCCTGTCTCTTTCTATTTTACATCTACTCCTCCTTTTTCTTAGAGGAATAAGCCTTGTGCATACATCGAGTGCCACCGAGTTTAATCTGTTCTAGGCATAAGTTTGGGTCTGTGTTGCTTAGTATATCTTCCCAGCTTATATCGGTTAGGACTTGGTTTACTTGGTCCCACTTTATGTTTTTGTTATTGAAGTTGAATTTGGTGAATGCTCCCTCGTGACTAGTCTCATTTTGTCGGTCTGGGGCTCCTCGCATACATGTCTGAACCTCAATTATGTTGTGATCTGAGTATATTGTTTTGATATGGTGACATTTCTTATCAGATCATCATTGTTAGTGAAGATGAGGTCTAGTGTATTCTCCAGTCTAGTAGGCTCTATTATTTGCTGGTTTAAATTGAATTTTGTGCAGAGATTTAAAAGCTCGTGTGAGTTTTCATCAGAGCTGCCTCCTGGTGTTATTACTGCAACAATATTATTTGCTATATTCCTCCATTTTAGGTGCCTTAAGTTGAAATCCCCCAGGAGCAAGATGTTGGGTGCAGGAGCTGGAAGATTTTCCAGACAGTGGTCAATTTTTAACAGCTGTTCCTGGAATTGCTGGGATGTTGCATCCGGAGGCTTGTAGACTACCACAATGACTAGGTTTAGGTTCTCGACCTTTACTGCTAAAACTTCCACTACGTCATTTGAGGCATTAAGCAGTTCTGTGGAAACAAGTGACTCTGCAATGTACAGGCCAACCCCCCCCCTTTTGCCTGTTCACTCTGTCACATCTGTATAGGTTGTAACCTGGGATCCATATTTCGTTGTCCAAGTGATCCTTTATGTGGGTCTCAGTGAAAGCCGCGAACATTGCCTTTGCCTCTGCAAGCAGTCCACGGATGAAAGGTATTTTGTTGTTTGTTGCTGGCTTTAGACCCTGTATATTTGCAAAGAAGAATGTTATCGGACTGGTGGTATTGTTGGTACTGGGGGGGTGAGTGAATATTACCACCCAGGTAACGCTACTAGTAATGAGTGAATATTACCACCCAGGTAACACTACTAGTAGTGAGTGAATATTACCACCCAGGTAACACTGCTAGTAGTGAGTGAATATTACCACCCAGGTAACACTACCAGTAGTGAGCGAATGTTACCTCCCAGGTAACACTACTAGTAATGAGTGAATATTTCCACCCAGGTAACACTATTAGTAGTGAGTGAATATTACCACCCAGGTAACACTACTAGTAGTGAGTGAATATTACCACCCAGGTAACATACTAGTAGTGAGTGAATATTACCCCCCAGGTAACACTACTAGTAGTGAGTGAATATTACCACCCAGGTAACACTACTAGTAGTGAGTGAATATTACCACCCAGGTAACACTACTAGTAGTGAGTGAATATTACCACCCAGGTAACACTACTAGTGGTAAGTGAATATTACCACCAAGGTAACACTACTAGTAGTGAGTGAATATTACCACTCTTATAACACTAGTAATAGTGAGTGAATATTACCACCCAGGTAACACTACTAGTAGTGAGTGAATATTACCACCCAGGTAACACTACTTGTAGTGAGTGAATATTACCACCCAGGTAACACTACTAGTAGTGAGTGAATATTACCACCTAGGTAACACTACTAGTAGTGAGTGAATATTACCACTCTGATAACACTACTAGTAGTGAGTGAATATTACCACCCAGGTAACAGTACTAGTTGTGAGTGAATATTACCACTCTGATAACACTACTAGTAGTGAGTGAATATTAACACCGAGGTAACACTACTAGTAGTGAGTGAATATTACCACCAAGGTAACACTACTAGTAATGAGTGAATATTCCCACCCAGGTAACACTACTAGAAGTGAGTGAACATTACCACCCAGGTAACGCTACTAGTATTGAGTGAATATGACCACCCAGGTAACACTACTAGTAGTGCGTGAATGTTACCACCCAGGTAACACTACCAGTAGTGAGTGAATATTACCACCCAGGTAACACTACCAGTAGTGAGTGAATATTACCACCCAGGTAACACTACCAGTAGTGAGTGAATATTACCACCCAGGTAACACTACCAGTAGTGAGTGAATATTACCACCCAGGTAACACTACCAGTAGTGAGTGAATATTACCACCCAGGTAACACTACCAGTAGTGAGTGAATATTACCACCCCGGTAACACTACCAGTAGTGAGTGAATATTACCACCCAGGTAACACTACCAGTAGTGAGTGAATATTACCACCCAGGTAACACTACCCGTAGTGAGTGAATATTACCACCCAGGTACAACTACCAGTAGCGAGTGAATATTACCACCCAGGTAACACTACCAGTAGCGAGTGAATATTACCACCCAGGTAACACTACCAGTAGTGAGTGAATATTACCACCCAGGTAACACTACCAGTAGCGAGTGTATATTACCACCCAGGTAACACTACCAATAGCGAGTGAATATTACCACCCAGGTAACACTACCAGTAGCGAGTGAATATTACCACCCAGGTAACACTACCAGTAGTGAGTGAATATTACCACCCAGGTAACACTACCAGTAGTGAGTGAATATTACCACCCAGGTAACACTACCAGTAGTGAGTGAATATTACCACCCAGGTAACACTACCAGTAGTGAGTGAATATTACCTCCCAGGTAACACTACCAGTAGTGAGTGAATTTTTACCACCCAGGTAACACTACCAGTAGTGAGTGAATATTACCACCCAGGTAACACTACCAGTAGTGAGTGAATATTACCACCCAGGTAACACTACCAGTAGTGAGTGAATATTACACCCAGGTAACACTACTAGTAGTGAGTGAATATTACCACCCAGGTAACACTACCAGTAGTGAGTGAATATTACCACCCAGGTAACACTACTAGTAGTGAGTGAATATTACCACCCAGGTAACACTACTAGTAGTGAGTGAATATTACCACCCAGGTAACACTACCAGTAGTGAGTGAATATTACCACCCAGGTAACACTACTAGTAGTGAGTGAATATTACCACCCAGGTAACACTACTAGTAGTGAGTGAATATTACCACCCAGGTAACATTTGATCAGTAAGAATGAAGAAGTAGGGAGGGATGTAACTCGTGTATATTACCACTGTTCCTAAATTGTAACCCACCCGAATGTCTTTGTCCCAGACTTGTTCTCTCTCTGTCTCACTTCGCCTCCTTCCTCCCTCCCTTCCTCTCTCTCTCTTCCCCTTATTTCTCTCTTCTCTTCTCTCTTCTCTCTTCTCTCTTCTCTCTTCTCTCTTCACTCTTCTCTCTTCTCTCTTCTCTTCTCTCTCTTCTCTCTTCTCTCTCTTCTCTTCTCTCTCTTATCTTCTCTCCCTCTTCTCTTTCTCTCTCTCCTCTCTCTCTCTCTCTCTCTCTCTCTCTCTCTCTTTTCTCTCCCTCTCTCTCTCTCTCTCTCTCTCCCTTCCCCTCTTTTCTCTCTCTACATTTGCACTGTTCTTAAGATACTGTTGTACTTTCTTCAACTTGATAATTAAGTAAGAATCATGAGTGGTTTGTTCAACCTTAACAATATATAAAGTCTCGTATACTCATCTTAAAATAAATGAAGGTGGTCGAGTACTCTCATATATCTTCAAGAAATTTTTAAAATGTTCAAAATGCTCCTGTCTTTCTTAATTATTAATTCATTTACTAAAACTTTGTCTATATAATAATAAAGACAATGTCATCCAATTAGTGAAAAGTATTAAGAACTTTTATTAGCATTGAAAATATTTCTAAAAAACATGACGCACATTTAATACAAAAATGTGGCATATTTAAAGTCCAATATTTATTAATTTTACAACAGTTGATGAAGAAGATGAGATAACAATTAAGGAACTCGCTGAGATGGTTGTTGAAGCTTTTGACTTCAAGGGAGAAGTGATATACGACACTTCGAAGAGTGACGGACAGTTCAAGAAGACTGCTAGTAATGACAAGTTGAAGAAATATTTACCTGACTTTGAGTTTACTCCAATAAGACAAGGTATAAAAGAGACAGTGGATTGGTTCATCAAGAACTATGAGACAGCAAGGAAATAAAAGGTTCCTCACAGGTAAACTTATAAAACACTAACAGTAACATTGCTCCTGTAACTGTACGTACATGACTGTACGTACATGACTGTACGTACATGACACAACACTCCATATATAATTGTCACCTATATTTACGCACCATTTTGGTTGAGTCGACTTTTAAAATACTTTTTCACCAATATAATGTTTGACAATGTGAGTATAGACTCTTGCACTGCAGTGTTCCATTACTTATGTTCACTTGCAATCAATTTGACCTAGATTTTTCGTATTACTTCGTGGAAGAACATACAACAGGTGAACAACATCCAACATGACTGAGAAAGGTTGTTTTCATGTTGTACATATACTGTGAATGTAGAGTCACGGACACAATATATATATGGAATCAGCCAGTAGTGATTAGTTGAGGTAATAATCTCAGTGAAATAACAGTAGTGAAGATGTTAAAGAAAACTGTTAAAAATAAAATTGAAACAGTAGGCCTACGTCACTGTGTTTGTTGTGAAGATTGTTGAAGTATGAACCAATGACCCGGGATGGGGGGGGTGTGAACTCATGGCAAGGGAGTCGTAAAACTCGAGGCCAGTGCGTAAATCACTGGGCCTACACACTGGCCTCGAGTTTTACAACTCACTCGCCATGGGTTCAAGCCCCACCCGTTAACTGTTTTGTTTGTAATCGTTTTATTACGATTTGATGAGTCAGTACTGATGCTCATCCGGGTTATAAGAGAAATTAATGGTGTATCACAGCGTTTATTTTTATGTTTTATATCTATAATAATGCAACACGTTTTATTATATAAAAATTCTTTTAACAATGATCATTATTTTATGAATAAAAAATGTTGGTATTGCAATTATTTTGGTGGATTGATTTTGTTGCAGACTGATGGTACACTTATGTTAATGTAGTGGGTTTAACATAATAAAGTAATTTACTGATGGTAATTTTTTATTTGACATTTTATACATGGGAAAATCTGTCTTTATATCTGTGATCCTCTGATGACGTCCAAGACAATAAAAGACAAGATCAACTTAGGTGAAAGTGATCATTTAGTGAAGACAAAGACGTGAGTTCCAGAACAAGCTTTTATTAAAACAACTTTATGCTCTGTGTAGAGTTTTATCAAGCTATGCAGAGGTTACTCTTACTTTTTAAGTTAGTTTAATGTCTTCGTTATACACCCAATACCCATCCTGTGGGCAGTAGTTATAAAATTACAGAGGTGAACAAGTTACAGTGGTAACGAACTATGAGGTTACAATCTTCAGCTGGAGGTAAAGTGGAAGAGCTGAGACGGAATCAGTGATATGTAGAGATGAAAGATGACAGGTCATAAGTCAAAGTTTCTTGGACACAGCGCAAGGAGAGCAACAATGACTACTAGTCAGGGGTAGAGAGGAAAGTTAGATACAGATTCATCGGAGATATCAGTATCTTAACAAAAGAGTGTACTAAATACTTTTCGATGAGAAGTTGGAATCTATATAGAAACAAGTGTTCAGTTTACTACATTTGACGATCTCAGTCACTTGTAATGTAATATGTGGATAGAACCAAGACCATACACAGTAACAGTCTCGGAGTGTCCATAATTCTTACCGTTTTCGACATAATTGGAAAGAAATGGTGACACTGCCAGTATGTAGATAAAGACACACATGGGCAGTTGAAAACATTTATTGAGGAAAATTTTCAGTACAAGTAGCTTCTTCAACGTCTGTATGCTGAAAATCATATAAAATACCGACAAGTTGATGAGTAAGACAGATGGGTATCTCCATTGTTGAAACGTTTCGCCTACACAGTAGACTTCTTCAGACAAATATAGAGGCAGCAGGGGTAATAAATGATTACATAATATTGGCTTCTATTGAGGGAGACTGACACCAGTCAGTCCATCTATCATCATTCTATCATGCAGGAGGAGCCACGTGTCTATGGTGCATCCAACAAGATAAGTAGACTCTTGGATGTCACTACTGCCCGGCTCCGGCTGGGTTACAAGTATCTTTGTCACACCTTGCGTCATTATGTACTGGAGTGCATCACACCTTGCGTCATTATGTACTGGAGTGCATCACACCTTGCGTCATTATGTACTGGAGTGCATCACACCTTGCGTCATTATGTACTGGAGTGCATCACACCTTGCGTCATTATGTACTGGAGTGCATCACACCTTGCGTCATTATGTACTGGAGTGCGTCACACCTTGCGTCATTATGTACTGGAGTGCGTCACACCTTGCGTCATTATGTACTGGAGTGCGTCACACCTTGCGTCATTATGTACTGGAGTGTGATCAAATTAATGAATTTAGAAAAAACTCACTCAGAAATGTTCAAGAAATGGAAAAGTATTTTATCCACAGTTGTATATTACAGACCATTCTGGAGAAATACCCTGACTTTGCTAGCTGTAAATAAAGCATTACCACAGATACAAACATGTAAATCATTATTTTTGCAACTTGTTCAGGTATCAAAACACTGCGGCCCGGTCACTGGACCCATGCTATACCTCTGTATCTCTGTATGTCTGTAAATTTAGGCCGTAGCAGCTGCCGCGTAGGCCGTAGCAGCTGCCGCAGCGCAGCAAGCAGCAACAAGGCTGCTCCTATATCTTGCCGTCCCCTGGGCCTATCCGAACTCCAGTGATGGCCAAATTTGCAAGTACTGCTGCAACAACATGCAAGTAACCTATAGTGACATAAAAACTGACGGTGACGACAACGAAATGGACTAAATATGACAAAAGAGGGACCGGCATTCAAGTACCAGACCTGCTGCCAGACGTGAACCAGACCATACCCCCGGCCGGGATTGAACCCGCGGTCATAGAGTCTCAAAACTCCAGCCCGGCCGGGGGTATGGTTTGTTTGCAATCGTGTCATTACGATTTCTTGAGTCGAGTCGTGAACCAGACATGAGACGTTTCCCACTACAATGAAATAACTGACCTCCATATCAACTGCACCAGTGTTAAGATAAGATAAGATTTCGTTCGGATTTTTAACCCCGGAGGGTTAGCCACCCAGGATAACCCAAGAAAGTCAGTGCGTCATCGAGGACTGTCTAACTTATTTCCATTGGGGTCCTTAATCTTGTCCCCCAGGATGCGACCCACACCAGTCGACTAACACCCAGGTACCTATTTGCTGCTAGGTGAACAGGACAATAGGTGTAAGGAAACGTGTCGGAATGTTTCCACCCGCCGGGAATCGAACCCGGGCCCTCCGTGTGTGTTCAACGGGAAGACAACATGGCAGAAAATAACTGACCTCCATATCAACTGTACCATTGTTCAACGGGAAGACAACATGGCAGAAAACTTGATCAACTAAATCTCCAAGGAAATGACAGATCTGTAGGACTTTTTTCTTCAGTGCCAAACGAGGGAAAGAATTGAGCATTTAACCATGGCTGACCGGCATCCAAACAGCAGCTACTGCCAGACGTACAACTAGCGAAGTGAAATTCTCATCTTTACTGACGTTCATCTGTTGACAGTAGCATCATATCTGTACCACCATCATATCACCTGTACCAGTGCTAACGAGAGGGAAACACAGGAGACATCGTCAAATCAACAGTACAAAACTCCAAGGTATAGGACGGTTATCCCTCAGTGCCAGTCGTGGGAAAGAAGTGAATAGTTAAATAGTCAAGGTTAATGTTTTAGTGGCTGACATATATTCAGCTGACCAGTGTACAGTGAGAGAATCATAGCAGAAAAAGCCAAATATATCTATAAGCTCAAGGAAAGTCAGGTTGTAGGTGGCGTTACTCCCCTCAGTGTTTTAAAAATGGCTGAGACAGCAGACCAGGTCAGGAGACAACACGACACAACCCCCGATAAATGGAATTGAGGGGGATTTGGAAGGATAAAACCATGGATTAAACCTTTCTGATCTACTAGAATGGAAAGGAGTTAGAAGTTAATTGGTGAAGCCAGACTGTGAAGTGAGGTGGGAAGGGGAGTGTGTAATAAGGGGTTAACTGTAAGGGTTTTGTGAAGTTAAGGGAAAAGTGAGCAGTGAAGAGGGTTTTGAAGAGGAAATTTTGCTAGTAATTCAGTGGTGATTGCTAAAGCAGATACTAAGTGTACTAGGGACTGGAAAAGAGAAATAAATATTATTGTATATGAGTAAAAGAGCGAAGAGTGAAAATGGCAGGCATTAGAGGGGTACAGGCTGCCATAATTATATTTATATTTCTTCTTCAATTCCATGAAGAAAGAAATCAGTCATGGGGGCTGGAAAAGGTGAATGAAGTAACAGCGCCCTGGACAGTAAAAGCCCAACAGTTGCCATCCTACCAGAAAAGTAAATGTCACTATCGCCGCAAGGTATGGCAACACCGCATACCCAAACAAAAACAACGGCACACAGCTCTTATTGTAGCGCTCTTAAGTGGTGATATCCAAATTAATCCAGGACCTCAAACTATTGTGCAGAGGCAAAACAGACAGATAAATGACGGTGATAATGACGGTCTAGTAGCTAGGAATGATAACCTTAACTCCATATGTAATGCATACATAGGTCAATGTGAGACAATACAGCCATTATTATCTCAAACACTACCAAACAGGTGCATACACTGTACTAAAGTACGCATGAGTCTTACTGTGTACATGTGTCTTACTGTGTACATGTATCTTACTGTGTACATGTGTGGTACTGTGTACATGTGTGTTACTGTGTACATGTATCTTACTGTGAACATGTGTCTTACTGTGTACATGTGTCTTACTGTGTACATGTGTCTTACTGTGTACATGTATCTTACTGTGAACATGTGTCTTACTGTGTACATGTGTCTTACTGTGTACATGTGTCTTACTGTGTACATGTGTCTTACTGTGTACATGTGTCTTACTGTGTACATGTATCTTACTGTGTACATGTGTGTTACTGTGTACATGTGTGTTACTGTGTACATGTGTGTTACTGTGTACATGTGCCTTACTGTGTACATGTGTCTTACTGTGTACATGTGTCTTACTGTGTACATGTGTGTTACTGTGTACATGTGCCTTACTGTGTACATGTGTCTTACTGTGTACATGTGTGTTACTGTGTACATGTGCCTTACTGTGTACATGTGTCTTACTGTGTACATGTGTCTTACTGTGTACATGTGTGTTACTGTGTACATGTGTGTTACTGTGTACATGTGTGTTACTGTGTACATGTGTGTTACTGTGTACATGTGTGTTACTGTGTACATGTGTGTTACTGTGTACATGTGTCTTACTGTGTACATGTGTGTTACTGTGTACATGTGTGTTACTGTGTACATGTGTCTTACTGTGTACATGTGTGTTACTGTGTACATGTGCCTTACTGTGTACATGTGTGTTACTGTGTACATGTGTCTTACTGTGTACATGTGTGTTACTGTGTACATGTGTCTTACTGTGTACATGTGTGTTACTGTGTACATGTGCCTTACTGTGTACATGTGTGTTACTGTGTACATGTGTGTTACTGTGTACATGTGCCTTACTGTGTACATGTGCCTTACTGTGTACATGTGTGTTACTGTGTACATGTGTGTTACTGTGTACATGTGTGTTACTGTGTACATGTGTGTTACTGTGTACATGTGTGTTACTGTGTACATGTGTGTTACTGTGTACATGTGTGTTACTGTGTACATGTGTACATGTGTACATGTGTGTTACTGTGTACATGTGTGTTACTGTGTACATGTGCCTTACTGTGTACATGTGTCTTACTGTGTACATGTGTGTTACTGTGTACATGTGTCTTACTGTGTACATGTGTGTTACTGTGTACATGTGTGTTACTGTGTACATGTGTGTTACTGTGTACATGTGTGTTACTGTGTACATGTGTGTTACTGTGTACATGTGTGTTACTGTGTACATGTGTGTTACTGTGTACATGTGTGTTACTGTGTACATGTGT